CCTAATTAGGACCACTGCGAGCGAGCGCACGTACTAATTAATTCGAGAAAATTCATAAAACGCTTTCCGGTGTATTCCGAAAGTGCACAAATTAGATTTTTAGAAATTAGAAAGATAGAGGAATATCATACCACAGGAAAGTATGTTTTGTTCTAAAATACATTAATAAATTTATATACAGTTACTTAACAAATTAGTGCGTACAGTAATAATATAACGTATCTTCCTTAAAATATCATTGGCCGTCTCCCGCAAAATTTTACATTCCTGTAAATTTCAAATCTGGTCACTATGTTTATGCGATACAGCAATACACCTGGTTGTAAAAACTTGATCAATCCATCCATTAAATTATTTCAACAAACCTAATATTAGTGCCTTCTTTAACTACTTCGCATGGTCGTGGTTTAATAAATTCATTCTTAAAAAAAAGAAAATTTCCGAGGCCCTATTATTCTGCTTAAGAATCACAGTTTTTTTTTTACTTTTTTTATAAATATTTGGACATCTGACACACAACGCCATCTACTTTCAACTGAACAGAGCTTGTACTATGAAAGCTAGATTTACCGATAGCATACTTATATACTTTTTTTTTTTAATATATTATATATTGTTTTTCCAAACAAACTTTTCAGTTTACAATAAAATACGGTAAAGTTACGTTTCTCCCTTATCCGAATATGAAACATAACTCAATAGCACAGAGTAGGGATTCGAGGGCAACCGAGTGTAAAATGGTCGACATGGAGGGGCATTTTTAAACTGACCGGACACTCGGGCGCCCGCCGGATCCCCCTGAAATATATTAGGTACGCCAGGATTTGACGTTGTTATATCTATAACGTTCGGGCTAATAGAAACGTGTGGATAGGATTTTTATCATTTTTGTTTTTGTAATCGGCATTGCATATCTTGTATGTTTATGCGTGCTCCAGGAACTATGGCATGAGCACTGCTTACTTTAATTCCAAATAGCGGTGAGATATATTATTACTTAATAACCAATACTGCTTTAGGGAAATCCATCGGATCCATTTTCTTTACAACTATATTACCAATTAATAAAACATCCTCAACATTCACCACATGAGCCTTGTTAGAACTATCCTCGTGAGTAAACAACAACAAAAGGAAAGAACACCGCTACAATATAATTGGTTGTCAAATCAATATTTTATATATTAATTTCATGTAAAATATCACCACCTGAAACCTACCCCATATCTGCTCATGTCTTATAAATATATCAATAAAAGCTTCAAACCATTCAAATATAAACATAACATATAAAACCATACTTTTTGGTTATTATGATTTACAAACTTCGTCACTTACGTTGTTCATCTGCATAAAGATATAATATACTGCGTGTTTGATGCTATGAGATACAATTCCATTATTAAAATAGTATTTTTGAAAAAAAGAAACAAATTATACAGTGATTTTGCACGAGCGAGGAAACAGTGTGTCAGATATTAACATTGTAAATCTTAGGAGAGTATTAGAAGCACCTGTTGGCCACAGTTTATGAAAGTACCAATATAAAAGCACTTGGTGCAAAATTCCAAAAATAAAAAGTCTTGAATAAAACTATTTACAGGTTTTTTATTTACTATAGAAAGTTAGCTTATTGAAAGGAATGTATAGTTAAAAAACCCACTTTTCAGCATAGTCAACAAAGAAAGTAGCTTAACACCTATCATGAAATTATGTTGATTGAAACATTCACGAGTTACTGTGTATTATTATAATTTTGATTCGTTTTGTAATTGTAAGTACACGTCCTAAAGCTTTTTTTTTTTTTTTTAATTGTTTCCTCCGTAAAGTTTTAGTGGTAAGGTATGTTATAAATTTAGGCGCCTAATAAAAGTTACATTTTACCGCATTTTTTATTTTATTTTAATGGGTTATTTGAAGTCAAGTGAAAGCGATAAACGCCAAGGAGATTTTTTTTTAATTTTGACGTGTAGTCCAACAGAAGGTTGAACGTTAAAGTTTAATAAATTTTGATACGTTCAACTTTTAATGACTGTAAGAAGAAAAAGATAGAAAGAGTCACGAGCAATCTTTACTTAGCATAAAACAAAGTCACTTTTGGTGTTGTACGCTTAGATCTATTAAACTAAGCAAAAGATTTTAATGCGTTTTTACCAATAGAGAGAGTGATGCAAGGAAAAGGTTTATATGTACGAGTATAATACATGCATATTATAGTAAAAAAAATCCGATAATTTCAAAGATTTGTTATAAAAACATGTTTTTGTGCGCTTACATTACAAACACTGGCTTTTGCTTACGAGATAGACCAAAATAATGTACTACCGAATTGTATATCTTAAAAAGATCTACAAAAAAGTCTTCGATGGTATATGTATAACACTATTGCATTGGGCTAAACCTGTAATAATAGTTGTTTTTAAAGGAAATAAATAAATGTCTATCTCCTAAGGATAACCCACAGTAACCATTTTTATTTTTTAAATATAACAAAAAAACAATGGGTTATTTACTATTTTATTAGCTATTTTAATCATTTTTTTTTCTTATCCAATTAAATACTTTCTATACGTTGTGCATTAAATGTAGATTAAAATTGCTCTGAACAGCATATTATTAAAATTAATATTTTAGGAGATATGAGAAGTTTAAAATGCAGGGGCTAACGACCGACGAGCCGTACGGATGACGGCGACGGACGCTGGTGGCAGCGTTCGGCAAGATCGGAGCGGGCCTATAAAGATGTCCTGTAGCCCTGATGTCCTATCATAATAATAGTATAACTAATTACTCCACACTGACACCACATTAGTAGTATCTACATTGCACCCGTGCCAAGCCGGGGCGGATCGCTAGTATTAATTAAATTGTAGCCACTCATCAAGGCAAGCAATATACAGCAATAAGAACTTTATTAATTTCATTATCTATTTAATCCATAAATGTGAAAGTGAGTTTGTTTCTTTGTATGGTGGTTTGCTTTTTTTAGTTTTCGCTTTCACGCCTAAACCACTAAACCGATTTAAAAAATCTTTCAACAATGGAATGCTCCATTATCTAGAGATTTCACCAATAGAGAGAGTGATTCAAGGAAAAGTGATTCAAGGAATGCTATATTATCTGCGAGTAACACAGGCTACTTTTCACCGCGATAATCGACATACACGCGGGCGGAGCCGCCGGCAAAAGCTGATCTAGTTAACAAGTGACGTCCTCATTTATTGACGCAATCCCAAGATATTTTTTTTTCAATTTCGTCAATAACAATTTAAAAGGTGATAACGTCTTTTCGTTTGAATTCAACTTTGCTATTCTACACTTCTACATTTCCACAAAAATAATTTTTACACAACTGTTCAAATATTATATTCAACTACTTTTTAGTATGATGTGACTCAATTTTTAGCTTGAATGTGCTAATGAAGTCAAAAACTACATCTGTCAATTATGGATCCGATTTTTGCTGCTACCCCCTAAATATTTAACAAGAATCGGAATTATCCTTCATGCTCTGAAAACCGAAGTGACAGAATGTAACAGAAATATATATTTATTTTACTAGCGAGACAGAACCTGACGATTCCCGCCGGAGCTACATTGAAAATGCCACAATTATATATCATAGACACATATTTGTTAATTATAACCAATGCTTTACTAAATAAACCTGAGTATATTGGCTCCATATTATTTTGTACTAAGTACATTTTGAGTGCTAAAAGTAGAACAAGTATCAAGATACATCGGAATCAGTATTTTATTACGCGTAGTTTTAGATTAAAATCCTTTTAGTCTAAATATTTATAAAGTGATTTAAATGGATACTCCATTAAGTTAAGATAAGGATATGAAAGGTTTTGTTTTCAGCATAATTGTACTTGTAATAAGTACATTGTAGGTAGAATCATATCGAATTTTAAAAGAGAAATACAGTCCCGAGAATGGAAAACATATATTTTCTGCGCCTTTTTTTTGTATTAATTGGTTTTTAACTAGAATTATTATGGTTACAATGTGATAGTTTTCATTATTGGAAATTTAGTATAAGTTAAAGTAGTCGAGCGTAGGAACACCTACATCAACAATTGTGTGATAAATAAGTATTAGATCACACACAAACATACTGTTGTCACCTACACAGAGACTTTCTACTATTGTGACCATTCTAAAAAGGATTTTATTAACTTATCTTCGAAAACATATATTTCATAAAGTAAAATAAAATGTACTCTTTGACATAAGCCATTTTTTTAAATGTATTTTCTAAAGTTATGAACCAATTTACGCTAAAAAGTCTCAATTTAATCAATTTCGTTTTTAAATAATTCTCAGTCATATAACCGCAATATTAAAAATCGATGTTGTAAAAATATCGGGTATCATCGAGCCGGTGAATTCTCGCGCATTCGACCGGAAAATAGCGGACATAAAGGTCCGACATTCTGCTACTGACCGGAGCACGGACGCCGATAAAATATATACCAGGGTCTTGTGGTAAGTGCCCTAATGTTAATAGAGCGCGGTAAATCATTGTTCTCTGATTCAAATTTAATAGGATTAATCGTTCATAGCTTTGACATTCTTGTTCACATAAATGTAATAAATATTTTAGGCACAATATGTAGCATTAATGTTTTTTTTTCCACAGTTTTTGAAGAAATTAATTGAAAGGAAATTTAAAGAAAGACTAGACTAGACTAGTTATTTGAAAGCTATATCCAACAACGTGATCATTTTTATTATTACACGACCTAATAAAATTTAATAATACGAACTTAGCCATTTTTAAAGATGTTATAGAAACAAGCTTTGATTTGTGATCACAACAAAGTGTGTTAATTAGAACTGACCGCATTTATGGTAGGTATTAGCGGTATCAATGTTTCATTATTTTTTGAAGTTTTCTGATAGAAAGTTAAAAAAAAATAAAGGTATTGTAAAAACTGAAAGGTATCCTTAAGCTGTTTAAAACTCAGACGCGTAAGTAAAATGTGCATAAGATGGCTTCAGCGTCGGCGGCGGTAGGTGTTGCCAGCAATTAATCTCCATTTCCCACATTCGCCAATCCTGCCGCCGTTACTAGCTCTGTTTTATTTCATTAAATGGACTCACCGAATTAATGTGCTGCACCGCTTACAAAGCCGATAAAAGAATCGAAAAAACTTCCATTGAAAAAATGATATGCCGCCTTTGTGTCTGTTTGTGAAGAGTGTCGTACAATGACTCCGTTTTTGTAAGAAAAATAGCCTACTAAGTTGCTGGACGATTTTTTAATGTTTCAAATCATGTTTTTGTAAACAACTACAAAAATGTGATTAATTTAACAAAGCGTGATATCTGGTTGTAACACTTGCTCACCATTCATTACCTAATGTTAGCGTTTCGCCAATTTTCATGATCCTAAGTCAACATATATAGGTGTTCATTTATTTGCGAAATGTTAAAATTCGTTAAAATAATAAGACCTTTCTGACTGCGTTTTTGTTTTTTTTAAAGCTAAAAAGAATTCGAGACATAAATACGTAGGTACTTTATGGGCATGTCAACATGATTCCTTTATGCCTTTGGGTTGAACATCATCTTAATAGACAAACAATCTGTAGATACTTTCAGGTACTCATTTGTGTGTTTGTCCATGATACCTATACTGATTCATCTGGTACAAAAAGTTATAAAAAATTAATGATAGTAAAATTTGTTGTGAAATATGGATAACTAAAGCATAACTAAAGTCTCTTGACGGGACTATGAAATAATACGGGTATAACTCTGTGTACAAGCTGTACATAAATATAATAAACATTTGTGATGTAATATTAATGCACTATTAATAAAAATAATAATATATCTCACACACTGACACGCGGCCGTCTGATCCCAAACTAGGCAGAGCCTATATATATATATATATATAGCCTATATATAGCCTAGCTATGGTAACCAGACTGCTGATAAACATACTTATATATTTTTAAATAGATACATATTATAGATAAATTACACTCAGACACAGAACAAAAGACCGTGCTCATCAAACAATATTTGTCCTGGGTGGGAATCGAACCCACGACCTCCGGTTTAGCAGTCAGGGTCACTAACCACTAGACCAACAGGCCCGACAAATTTGCATTCCTCATTTACTCAATACAATTATCTTTACTAAATACTAAATTTATTGAATGCCTCTAACATTAAGTCCACCTATGTGTTTAGTTGTGCATGAACTTTAAATGAAATAAATGTTTGTGTATTGTTACAGGTGCGAACATTGTTCGTGAGCGGTTTACCCATGGATGCAAAGCCGCGTGAGCTCTATTTACTGTTTCGAGCATACGAGGTATGTAACACACTAACATAAGTTTACATACAGTATTCCATTGCATATAATTAGCTAGGACTAGAAAGCACACAGTTGCATTTGCGCTGCAATTATTTATAGGCACAGGTTTATCGTTAGGTGAACTATTTAATAATTTGCCAAATTAGTTGTATGAAAAAAACATCGCATGCTTGTTATAAATGGAATCCACGCTTAATCACCTGTTTGTAAATGGCATAAGGAACAGGCTTCTTCAGTTATCAAACTTAAAAAACAGATAAGAGTGTGTGACCAGCTTTAGTAAATTAATAAATACCGAAAGCTAATAGAAAAGACACACAAATCTATATCGAAAGAAAATAAAAACCGAAAGCACCACTATTTTCGTCACGCGACTAGATCTATGTTAGGATTACCGTGCCGTAAATATCAAATGTCATGCTCCGATTTGTAATATTCGGATTGAATCGATTCTGTTTACCGATAAGGGGGATTACACTCGATCCTCGGCTGGCACGGATGGCACCACAAACATTAAGGTGCCCAAAGTTAAACCGGGGTTAGTTTTAGTGTAGGGTATCGCGTGACAAGCTTTCACGGCGCCTGGTACCGCTTCGTACTTTTTGTAGACCAATGTTATTGCGTCTGAATAGAATTTTATTATAACTTGTATGATATCGGCAAATTAAATGAGTCTATGATGCGGTCCCATCAGTTGCAGAAAGCAGTATTTTTATTCAATTAAAATAATAGTTCTAATTTCGTCTATACAGGGTTATGAAGGCTCCTTGTTAAAGGTTACGAGCAAGAATGGGAAAACAGCTTCAGTAAGTATACATAAATTTATGTGAATGTAAAAATATTGTTCCAGTAATAGTAAATCTTACACTGAAAAAATGCAAATTGCTAATATTATTTTTAACGATCGGTAGACCTCTTAAACATTCAGAATATTGGTGAAATTATATAATTCATTATTAACGAACAAAACAATTTTGTTTATTGATAAAACCTATTATTATGTACCTTGTTAATAATATAGTAAAATATTCTGCGTTACATAGTTCAATATATTTCCAGCCCGTTGGTTTCGTCACGTTCCACACCAGAGCCGGCGCGGAAGCAGCTAAACAAGATCTTCAGGTTGGTTTTGTCACAGTACAACCTTATATAATTCTAGTTTCAGAATTTATTCAATACTACGATAGGGACTATGAGCTCGATCTAATATTTTGTCAAAAATATTGTGCAAAAATATAACTCACAATATTGGAGCGAACTCAAATTAAGTTATTTTTTTTCGGAGATTAACTCCAAGATAGAAATATAAAACTAATATTTCATTAAAATATTATTTATCCTTCCTACAATGCGGAATTCACACAATAACAATAAAAGTACCACGTACACTACAATGCCTAATCAGTTTGAATGGCTTCAGAACACAGTATGATAGGTGACACTAAGCCAGTATCTCGATGAATGACTGAGATATGTGCCTCCTAGGTATACGGTACCTCAATACGCTATTGTAAATACTAAAACATGTTAACGCACGGTGTTACTAAACCTCTTCTCATCACATGCCTAAACACAGCCAATGAGCACTATAGTTAATACTCTCATTGTAGACTTGGAATAACATTTTCCTAACTTCGTGTAACCGTATCGTAAGTTATGCTAAACCCATGCACATACAGAATAGACCACGACGGCTCATCGAGTTGATGTTATTGAGATGTGTGTGATCGATATCTAACGGTGTAAATAAGCAATGCATGTCACTGTTTGACAGGTTTTGATGTCACATCCCGAGCACTGTGTTCTGTCACTTAGCAGGCGCAAGCGCGGACCTCTCGATTAAATCGAATATTTCCAATCGGAATTTCTCGTTTTCAGATTTATACACAGATGTTTCCTCTTTAGGTCACTCTTAATTAATTATTTGAAAAATAGCATACCTAAATTTTATATCAGATTTATGTAGTCAGAAATAAAATAGCATCCAGTCTCCGTACAATTTGTGCCGTACCGACGCCCTCCCAACCACTCGCTAGTAATCGTGTCCCGAAGGGATTTAGCGGTGACTCTATCGGGAGCTGGGAGCTCGTGACGGTTGACTCTTCCATCGTCATTATATCTGAGCGCCGCACCGCTCGCGGCTGTTCACAGCAGGGCGTCCGGTTCGACCCCGACATGCCGCAAACGATTCGGCTGGAGTTCGCTAAAAGCAACACGAAGGTCAGCAAGCCGAAGCCGGCAGTTGCCACAGCCGCGCCAGCTGCACACCCCGCATTGATGCACCCACTCACTGGACGTAAGTACCGCCGTACGCACACACCGCCCGGCGCTCGCTCGACTGCCCCTATACCCGTACTAATCCGATTAAATAAAATCACTCTACCTATATTTGTGTAGAACCTCCTTATACAATGCTCGTATCCTCACTTGTGATGACAACCATACTGACATGATACTGACGACAGTAATACTCTAAATCTGGATAGTAGGCACGCATATGTACGACAGGGGCATCGAGCAACCGCTATGGGCAAGTATCTCTGACGCTTACACGTACCACGCAAGGCCTAGCTCCGCGAAGCTATTGATTGATCTGTCGGGTTCTTACCACTGTTGTCAACTTTTACATGTTTTCATGTTAACACGTTCATAAATTTCCAAAACCATATTCATTGTCACCTGTATCGATAATGATGCGATGTGATGACACCTACCTAAGAAAAGTTTTAGTTTATAATTTTGAATTTACTTATAATTTATCGACCGTGAAAACATGTTATAAGCACATTGTAAATAATAATTTTCTATGCAGTATTCTAATATCACATTTATAGATCGACAGCTATCGATTCGATTTGGAACTTTATAACATACTGACACATAGAAGTATGTTTGTATATTCAGAAGCCAGTTTTAATCATTGTGGTGGTACAGATCTAGCGAGTCCATTCTTCCCGGGTGGGGGTGCGGAGCTATGGCATCACCCATTGGCTTATGGCGGTGAGCTGCCGACGCTGTCGCATGGACTGGTGCACCCCGCCATCCATCCGCAGATGGCGCCAGTCCGCTCCTACCTCTGACTAGCTGCCGCCGATAGGCCACACCACGTACGTTATTCAAGTTTTATATAAATTGAGATCCCTTCAAACTTTAATGTTGGAGTAAAACATTTTATTTTAACAAAGTGATAAACATTTTTAGTATTTTGTGCGGCCGCTGATAGGGTAAGAAACATGTTTCCACGTTCATCGTACTCCACACAGAATGCAACAATAGATTATTATTCTAAGTTCTACTATTTGATTGCTCCTAAATATATATATGTATTCTTAACAATCGTAAAGATCAAGTTGAAAAGGATACAGTTTGTTGCCGTATATTAAATTTCCTGATATAATAATCGTTTTTGCTAACTGAGAGTATTATAGACGGTTGAATTTAAATGGCTTTGTATAAAACCATATTTCATCATTTGGCTTTGTTTTATTTGTTACAACACATAGTTTGCCTATAATCGAACGTAATTTAACATCCCTGATCAGACCCCCCTGACGTTGGGCGCGTGTGTACTCCCGGCACCAGCACTGGGGTCGCCGGGAGCTGCGGTACCTCAGCACGGTCCTGCCGGCCATCCCGCGCATCCTGCGCCTCCCTGCTCTACGCTCTTCGTCGCAAACCTCGGGCAGTTCGTCTCAGAGCACGAACTTAAGGAAATATTCAGCAGGTTTGTTCACATTCGACACTTTTCGATATTTAATGTGCAAAACGCTTTAGCTTTTCGGCTGGAAGTACTAACTACCTATAATATTAGTATTGAATAAGAATTTTATGGTTAAAGTATTTTAGTGATATAAATATTTCCAGTCGAAAAATAACACTTTGTTATGGGCATGATCACGCACTACATGAAGTATAAAAAATATGAGAACAAAAAGTGTTTATGAAGTTAATAAAATTTAACTTTTCCACAGTGCATGTTGCACCGAATATCACGATGTCGTCCACGTTTAACATTGTTGGGTTTATATTTTTATGTTTCGATTTCGACTACTTTATCTCACACAAACAATTTTTACAAGTTTAAAATTGGCCTTTAATTTTAGAAACTTATAATTATTTGTGTGAGACCGAACAGCCTGCACCCGTACCACCCTAAGCATGACAAACGTCACTATATTCGCCACAATTGTCGCAGCTAGTCGTATGTTAGCACTATAACACCACATTTTATGAGAGCAGTGAATATTACTTTTTCTGAACGTATCGTGCCGTAGAGCTTTGCACCAACCGTGACATAAGACTACCACAGCACTTATAGTGTACTTATAAATGTCACACAAATATAATATTTTCCTTATATTAAATAACATCATATACGATCAGGTTTTGGAAAACTATTGCAAATATTTTTAAAAATCCGTTAGATTCTTTTTGGGCACAGCAGCTTTTATCATTATGATTGTTTAATAAAACATAATGAAATAAAACCAAAATTGATATAGAAATATTCTTTCTTTAAAATTTAAGAAAAGAGATTTTTGCAGTTTATCATGTTTATCAAAAAATCCTAGATATTTTTGCAACCGACAATAATTATGAATGTAACATGTCAAGAAGCTGCTCATCACGTTGTATGTAGAATATACACGTTGAAATTTAAGTCAGTGTTGTTATGAAAAGTATGTTCTTAGCCTATGATATAGAATATATCTACATAAAAAAAGGGCATAGTGAAATTTATAGTAAAACGGGGTAGACGTGCATGTTCCGAGCGGAACTAAGTAAATTGACATTGTCCTCGAAATCGGAGTGATTAAACATCGTGCGACATTATATCATTGCTGTAGACAATGCGACTTCGCAATGTGCAAGGTTTTGTTAACTGATGCAACTTTACAAAAAGTCAACAGATAATTGCTGCAGTAGAATCTGTTAGTTTATTTATTATGGTAATCGAATTGATTATAAAGGTGTCTATTTAGTTTTCTGTTGTTAGCTATTAATAAATAAAATTGCAGCTGGAGGCTATTAAGATACACGAGTATCAGCTGTTCGTTGGTCGGCGTATAGCCGTAGATATACCTACGAGTACATTGTATTGCATCGAATAGAAATGTTGATTTTGACGAAAGCGCCGATAGTTAAACGTTTTAAAACCTATTTCTAAAAGTACATGGTTTGATTTCATATTTTTCGTAAAAACACTAAATTAGATTCCACTGTATTAACCGTTAATCCATATCAATTATATTATTAATTTAAAGCAAAAAAGATCTCTTATATTAACTTCGAAAAAAAGTACAGTTATGTTATATTTAACATACAACTGATTAGTAAACATGGTAAACATTTCTAAAATCAAAACCAATACTTACTACCGCCTCTAAAACTTCCTAAATCTACCAATCTAATATATTTTGATTACGTAAACTATGATGGTTTATTAAAACCTGATTTATTAATGTGACATTGGTTGAATCTCGGCATGAGACGCAAAGTCTTAAAGACACACTGTCATACTGTGGGGGTACGAGTGGGCACAATAGAGCACTCATGGTACAGCTGCCCGGGGTTCTCTCGGCTCCGATTGCTGAGCGGCGGCAGCGGAGGCGGGAGCACCGGCCCAGTGGCTTTCGTCGACTTCGCTAACCCATCGGACGCGGCTACAGCCATGGCTCGCCTCCAGGGCGCGCTGCTTCTTAGCTCTGAGGGCGCCATCCACCTCGAATACGCGAGGCATAAGATGGCACACAACGGCTGGATTCTCGCACATGAAGTATGCACGAGCACATTTGTTTAGTAATTTTGAAAAACTTATAACATTATTTTCTAAGTTACGAACCTAGTGTATTTTGTAGCTTATTAAGTATACGTACTACTAGTATACATACGATAGATATTTCAACAGGGTACACCCTACAAATAACTATCGTCAGCATAGTCACAAGATAAACAACGTTAAAGAAAATAATATTTTTGGTACATCGATTCTATCGTTTTAAAATGTGGAATACATTATAATCTAAGATTACACACATATGTGACTTTAAAATTTAAATTATTTACTTTTCTAGGATGACCAAACACCGTCTTAGACTATAATACTAACCTCACATTATATTCGTGTAGAATATTTCTGAACTGTGTCTGTCAAAATCTCTTTTATTATTATTTTTACTAGAAAAAGAATAGGTTTAAGACATTTTAAAATAATTTATAAAGATGTTTTACGCCTAGATTTTTTGTTCGTCTACATATTGTAATACAGTTATTATAATGACATTTCAGTCATTTTAGCTCAATATTATCCGAATAAGACTGTATATATACAATTGTCATTTATATTCTTTTTTAATGTCAACAATACTTTTAATCTGATATGCGTTTTTAATAATCAAAATTTAGAGTTTGATACCCAGAAAAGCTCAACGCGGCGTTGTGCAACAAATAAATGTCTCCGACTGTTAGGATAAATGTACGTTATTTAAATAGCATAGTCGTCTATAATATGCGTACTACTACTCACTATGCACCTCGCACACTTAGACTTATTAAATAGTGCCTGTCTAACTATAAGCTTTCTAAACACAATAGCGTTTAGAAACGAATTACTCTGTCTTATGTATATATGTTGTACTACGCAGGGAGCCAAAAGCGGAGAAGAGGCCGAACAGCATTAGCTCGTTCGTGGCTCTCGGCACTTGACAACCAGCTAACTGAGGGACGCGCAATCTTGATCCTCTGCATCGCATCAGAACTACAGGCATTGGGGACTGGGCAAGCTGTGGGCTCGGCGCGTCTCACCACTGTGGCGACCCGCGCCAGCCTCACCGCCACGAGTAACATTTGTTAACACACAACATCTTCGCAGTCTCCACTTTTCTTCAGTTTACCGTTCCCCCCGCGTCAGAGGTGTGGTGTTGTTTCGTTCATACCAAAATTAGCAAGTGTTAATTGTATTATTATTAACATTCCAGGTTTATTGTTCACTGTTTATGAAGAAAATATTATTATTTAAATCTATTATTTTCCTATAAATGTAGCCTGTTTATTTAATATTATTATTCGTTTTATCGTGTAACATAAGATTTATTTACAACTAACTTATTGTACGGTAAACGTTTGTATATTTGTTTTTACAAGGCCGATGTATACAACTGAGAGGATTTGTTATGAATATAGTGTATTACCAGAAATTAAACATTTTAGGATATATCTCATTCGAATAAGCTAAAAACCAAAGGTGCCCTTCATAGAAAGATTACGTTTTGTTAAATAATATTTCAAGTTGAATGATTTAAATGAAATTGTATGTAATAATACGATACTTTTGTTTTAGCCTCGATAATATTAGTATATTTAAATGAATTTCATGACTATTTCAAATTATATTTACCTAATAATTTCTTAGTAATTTTTATAATGTTCAATCACTCGTTAAAGCACTGGCACTCTAGTGTTGGTCTTACGATCCTTTCTATCTGTTAATGAATTATTGCAATAATTATAAATGTTTGACTAGGACTTGATGCGATGAGAGTGGGACGCCCTCGTGTCGCTTGTTGTCAATTGCAACACGAAACTGAACGTTATCGCGGGCTCGCATCTGTCCCACGGGCACATGCATGATCCTCACTGCGTGTCTCTTGCGTCACTGTTACCTTACAAATGTCATGTGTACCTTTTCTACTTAGGTGACTCACCAAAATTTCTTGTGCCTTGCGAAAATTTTCCTAAAGTTGACTTTGAATACAAATTCGAAGTTTCTAAAAACATCAGTTCGAATATTCAGTTGAAAGTTCCACAGTGTTACATAGGGTTCCCACATTCTTCGCGGTAAGTATGAGATGCGACACTATCGAGATCGGTTCAGTCTTGTTGCGAGAATTTAGCCTTGGCCTTATGAGAGTTAAAGAATTAAATGTAATCATTATATTAATTAATATATTATAGTAATTAACTAGCGGGCGCCGAGCGCGCCGACGCTGAATAGTAAAACGTTATTCTACTATCTGCATGCTTTGACGAGCTTTTTGGTAATAATCTAATTTAAAGTTTAGTAGTTACTTTTATTGTGTAATCGTTAGGTGAATAATATAATACTAGATAAGGGTATTTATTGTAGAGAATCAGCATAGTTGCATTACTATTTAATGAAAATTATTCATTCATAATAATGGAACGATGTAATGAAATTTAATTTTACTGAAATGTTAGGATTAATCAAATTGAAAATTAATATATTTTTTATTTTTAGCTAGTTGACTATCGCATACAGAGAATACTTAGTTACCTTCGTGTCAGTGAAACGCGGTGACGACTTAAGTACACTACAGTGCGAGATAGCAATAAACCAAAAATGAAATGTTAATGTTATTATAGGTATTTAGTGAAGTATTCTGCTGATGTAAACATTTAAAATTGACAAAAAAAAAACAAAAAAAAAATCCCCGCTAAGGCTATTTAATAAGATTTTGAATATTTGTGTTAAAAAGTTGACGCGACAGAAATCTATTGAGGTACTCACGCGATCTTTGATGGTCGGTGGCCAGACGTACCGCATGTGAATTCTTATGAAAATCTCTTAGTCAATAATTAATAGAAATGTCGTCAATTTTTGACTTAGCAAAATTTTATACATTATTTATGGTAACTGTACCTTCACAATTAACAGTGCGTCGTGGCGTATAGACCAAAGATAAAGGATTATACATACTTTTAATACTAACCTCAGACCGTACCAAACTTGTATTTTGTAGGCACATTGTTCTGCAATGTTTAATGAACACGACTTTTCACTTATTTTAAACCACAGTATTGTATACAGACGCGATTTGTTGCGGACCCAAGATAAGGCTGATGCCACCACGATGTGACAGATGAGAACACCTAGGTAAGGCATCATATACTATTGTAATTGTTATCTACCTTTGCTAATAGTAGGAACAATATAATTATTAAAACAAACGACTTAATAAAACAAATATTTAGATTCAGTTTTTACCCATAGACATGTTATGTAAATGAAATATTATATTCATTTTAATGGAACTTAAAACCTTCAAAACATCATTCAGATTTTCTTATATATTATTAATTATATTCTTCGTCGGTTATAATAATTAAGCTAAGTCAATGTTCACTTATTTAATTCGATATATAATGCTAATTCGTGTGTAAGTAATTGTGTAATAATGTAGTAGTGATCTCCCATACCCCCGGCGCGCGGCGTCCTATATCGCATACGAAAATACAACGAAAAGTTTAGTTGTTCATTTCAGTTGTAGCAGTGTGAATCGGTCGATGGTTTCAGTGCATCAGTTACGATCAATGTTAAGCTCTCTTCATAAGTATGTATGTGTATCGCTATTTGAAAATACTTTCATAGATTTAAAATCACCACTGCAGCCATCGACTGACTTAACGTTCTGGTTGACAATGCTCGACTTTCCCGGCCATTTTGTCTGCGGTTGTATATCAGAATGGTGGTTGGACAAAATGGCGGGTAGGTCGCGCGTAGTGCGTGAAGGGCGCCGCCGTCGCCATGATTCCGTCCAACAACCGTAGATAGCGAGTAAGAGACGTCCAGTGGCTGCGGACACGGCTACGTCACCTTTTGCGGGACTACTCGATACATATCATCATGTAATATTTAAATGTAATTAGGAATTAAAAAACGGTTTCATAGAGACGTTTATGCTGTATTTTCGTCTACTACTTATAATGCAATCGGCTATATGTCACGCTCAGTCCACGTTTGCGTTTCCGACAAAATTATATTATTCGCTTCGCTGTCGTTATGTCCCTTTTTCTCGGCATTTCACCGAATATGTCTTTTTTTTATAAGAATAAAAAAATGAAAATGTCAAACTATAAAACCATATTTTCTTAACGTTTACTATGAAATCGAGTAGATGGAGTTCGGATCGTTGTCGTTTATATTAAGACGCGTGACATTGGCCCGCATGTGATAGGGTAGAGTAGGGGTGTAGCGTCGCCTTGCAAGTTAGGTTAAGTGAAGCGGTATCACACAAACGCCGTGCATCGGAAACATATCAATTCTGTGCCCCTAAATAAATTTAATTAAATACTATTCTAAGAGATACAATATGAATAGAATAAAGAAGACAAAATAATCGGAGTATCAAATACCTGCTAAGTGTTGTTTTCGTACGTTAATGTGTAATATCGATAGATTTGATTGCAACGTGGTCATTACGCATAGTACCCGGGTAGTGTCGCGCAAGTACGGATTACATTGTCGCTGTAGAAGTTTGTTTTACTTTATTGTTACTTTAGAAATATATTAACAAGGCTTAATTACCAAATTACTTTAACAGTTCGCTTCGTATTCAGTATTAAATGACATTTTATGTTAATATCGGTGACAATAGTTAGTACGTTGCTGACAACTTATATGTATATCGAGCAAAGTAAACCATACAAACTATATAGTTAGTAATTAATTGTTAGATTTGTGTGACATGAATTATTTAAATGCTTTTAGAGCAAAGGTAAAGTGTTATTGTGGTTTAAGAAAAAACATAATGACATGTAAAAATAGTGATTAAATTAGCTTAATTATCATTATTACAACTTTTATAGATGTTCATTAATTTTCTTTATTACTTCATGGAGTATTGTGGCATTGGAGACGTAATTATTAATTCAAATAAATTTGAGCTCATCCTCAATCGATGTTTTTATTCATCTGACCCAACCCTGTCTACGACAAGTCCTTTACATTTTGTCTCCAACCAAATGGGTCGAGAACAACAAATCCAAAGTCGATTTTACATAAACTGTTTTATATTAGCTGTAGATATTTTTAAAGATCGTTTATTATCACAATAACCAAAATATTGTTTTTAAATGGATGGATGAATGTTTATTATTGTGTCTAGTTAATAAAAATAGTACTTTTATAGGTGTCTAGTTTAGGATAACTGAAATTAGATATAAAATTGACATTGAAGCTTTTAAAATTTGCTTTGTAGTCTTGTCTGCTTTAATGCGTCCTTTTGTAAAAATAATTTTAGAAAGCCTATGCTACAATATTGTTGTCTTTAATTAATTTTACAAAATGGTTGCTAAAGTTATATTACAAGAAAATATACAATCTCTTTATTTCGATAATAATTATTGCAATGTTGTATTTATGTCATTATTAGTTTTAAAGCATTATAGGGTCCAAAGATTGGGAATAAACATTATGTGACAATTAATGGTCTTGTTTCTTTTTCGAGGGATACGGGTGGTACATAAATACTATCAGGCAGAAGATAAACACAAAAACAGCTGGTTACACACACAGAAAATAAAGACTTAATTCAAAATAAAAACACTATATTTCAAAGAAATTTCAATGTAAGGGGTTAGTAAAGAAGGTAAGTGTAATTCTATGCCTCACCTAATGCATGGCTGCCACGAATATTATTCTGACATTAAACAGCAATTATTAACATAGCACCAAACAAGTTATAGTATGAAAAGTAATTTAATGTCAACTAACTTGTTTAATCTAGCAACAAAGTCGGTGCTCAGGGCACCATCGGGAGTCAGTAATTATTTAGACAGTCGAAACTTAGTATGACCTCGTTTTGCAGCCGCAGCTAAATTAGTATGAATATCATTAATTTCGCATTAGCCTCGGCCATACTGTGTGTATGCTGGTTGGAAT